ACTACTACTACTACTACTACTACTACTACTACTACTACTACTGCAACTCCTACGGCTACCACTGCTGCTACTACACCAACTACTACTACCACTACAACTACTACTAGTACGACCACTGCTACCAATACTACGACTGCAGCTACTACTACGACTAGTACTACTAAGACTACTACTACTACTACTACTACTACTACTACTACTACTACTACTACTACTACTACTACTACTACTACGACTACTACTACTACTACTACTACTACTACTACTACTACTACTACGACTGCTACTGCTACTACTACTAGTGCTACTACTACTACTACTACTACTACTACTCCTACTCCTACTCCTACTCCTACTACTACTACTACTACTACTACTACTAACTACTACTACTACTACTACTACTACTACTACTACTACTACTACTACTACTTATTACTACTACTACTACGATACTACGACTACTACAACTACTATTACTACTACTACTACTACTACTACTACTACTACTACTACTACTACTACTACTACTACTACTACTACTACTACTACTACTACTACACTACTACTACTACTACTACTACTACTACTACTACCACTACTACTACTACTACTACTACTACTACTACTACTACTACTACTACTACTACTACTACTACTACTACTACGACTGATACTACTGCCGTTCGCCCCCCCTTTTTTTAATTTGACCCCGACGCCCTGCGGATGCAATTCCACGGGAGAGAAAGAGGCACCCGTGTGTTTTTTTTTCGAGGGAGCCGATTGTCAAAAGTCCTATTCCTCCTCGTCCTCCTCCTGTTCCTCCTGCTCCTCCTCGTTTTCGGGATCCTCAATTCTCGTTTTCCTCTCATCCTTCCCCGTCGTCCTCATGATCATCATCCACCACTTGTTTGCCCCCGCCTTCGGGTCGGGGGAAAAATAATAAAAAAAAAAAAAAAAAAAAAAAAAAAAAAAAAAAAAAAAAAAAAAAAAAAAAAAAAAAAAAAAAAAAAAAAAAAAAAAAAAAAAAAAAAAAAAAAAAAAAAAAAAAAAAAAAAAAAAAAAAAAAAAAAAAAAAAAAAAAAAAAAAAAAAAAAAAAAACGAAACAGCACGATTACAATACTTACGCGGGGGGGTGGGGGGTGGCAAGAGTGGACGAAGCATTGAAACATGTGTTTGGTTTGTTGTTTTGTGTGTTTCAATGCTTGTTTGGGTTTTCAAGATTCAATATTTGATTGTTTTCGTCGTTTTAATTGTTTCACTTGTTTTTTAGCCCCCCCCCCCCCCCCCCCCCCAGCTGCGAACGGCAAAGAGCAGGAGGTGGAGGAGGAGGAGGAGGAGGAGGAAGAGGAGGAGGGGGAGGAAGAGGAGGAGGAGGTGGGGGGGGAGGAGGAAGGAGGAGGAGGAGGAGGAGGAGGAGGAGCGAGCGCCCCTGGCGATTGCCTATCCCCGCCTAGGGCCGCTACGCGCGCGCGTGCGCCGAGCCTCTCAGGCCCACGTTGAAGTAGCCCAAGGCGCCGTAGGCGGTGGCAAGGAGGCCGACCGAGCTGTCGGGCGCACCGTCGATCTGCTCGGAGCGGCTCGGGGCGAGGTCGGGAAGGTCATCCCCGACGGACTCGAACACGTTCCCGCTGCCGTCGTCGTTGCCGACGGGGCCAGCGTCAAGGGCGGCAGTAGCAGGAGAAACACCGTCAGCATCGCCGCGAACCTCGCGCGACGCTGGGCCGAGGTGCGCGCGCCCAGGGAAGGCGCCCGCGCGAGCCGCAGGGGGGCCAGCAGAGCCGCTGGCGCTAGCGGGGAGGTCGATCATGAAGTCGTCGTCGTAGGAGACCAGGACAGGGAAGCCAAGGTGGAGCGCGGGAGGGACAGCGCCATCGATCACGTGATCCGTGGCAGCGCCAACATCGCCGCGCGCCAAGCTCCCAACACCTCCGTCTCCCTGGCCTGCAGGGTCAAAGTCGGGGAAGGCTGCAGGAGGGGAGGCAACGGCGACCACCCCAACAGCATCCAACGCCGCGGGATCGAAGGGCGTGTAGTCTGGGAAGGCGCTTTCACCCATAGCCGAAGTACCAGCAAGATCATCAGCAGGAGGAGGAGGAGCATGCACCTGCATTGCCGCTTCACTACGCGCATGGTGGACAGGAGTGGGGTCATTCTCGTCCTCAGGGCTGATCAGCATCATGTCATCGACCCTGCCGAAAGCATAGGAGGCAGTGCCCACGTCCAAGGGCGCCAGAGGGTTGTGTTCACGACGAGGATGTCGTGCCGTGCCTGCTGGCAGCTCATCACGTGCATCGACGAGGGAGGCAGGGTGGTGTAGCATCCATCGAACCATCTCCCGTCTACCCGCTGGGATAACAGGGCACAGTATATCCAAGGCCCGCATCCCACACTCGATCTGCTGTTGGGTGATCTCGTCATGCGGCGAGGGAGTCCACGCAGAAGCTAAAGCCAACGCAGCCGTCGCCCTTGGGGGAGACGCGGTTGATGCCGTCGAGGTCGGGCGCGGGCCAATGCCTTGACTAATGGTTTCGAGAGCCAGCTGAAGAGCAAGCGAGGTGTGTGGCAACTAACCAGACAAACCCGACATCACGTCAAAGGCCGCATACTTATTTCCCATCTGATGATCCAGAGCTGCGCCAGGTGGAATGCCTGGAGCGGGCCATCGGTGTAGCGGTGGCTCCCCCACAGAACCACCCCATTCATCAGGTAGCGCAAGACCAGATTCATGATGATCAGGCGGTTGACGATCCACAGGTGGAGCACCCAGCACTCGTGGTCCATGGGTGCCTGCAGCCGGTTCATCAAGGTCTGAAGGAGGACGGTCCAGAGGTGGATGTTCCAGAACAGGCGGTGCTTCGTGGGCAAGAAGTAGAGCTCCCCCCCACGGAGCCGTCAGGGTAGATGACGCCGACCGAACCCGTGTGCTGCCATCGTTGCATCAAAGTCGTCATCAATACTCGATGACACACTCGAGGAGCTGCTCGTGCTCTGTGTCGTCGGTGCAGCAGGTGCCGCAGGCCGAGGGGCACCCCTCGAGGAGCTAGCCATAGGATCGCGAGCCATGTCATCATCAGAATCATCACGCGAGCGCCGCAGAACGCGTTGGAGTTGATGTTCAAATTCAGCATCGCTGAGAATCGGCCCGCGATGTGGAGCAGGCTCGCCAGCTTGCATGGCGATGTCCGAATCGTGGCCCGACGGGCCGTCACCGTCGCCAACGTCCGACACCATAAGCTCGAGATCCAAGGCAGAAGGGTTCGGCACTCCATCGCGGTCGACGCTGGCGCTATCCTCATCAGGAAGCGGCTCGCTCAGAGCGAGTGCCCCGAGCGACTGGTCTGCGAGCAAGTGCGGGAGAAGGTAGAGACGCGGCAGGGCCACAAGTGACGTGATCGGAGAGGCCGAAGTAAACTGCAGCAAGTATTCGCCGCGGATGGCCGCGGACATGCGGGTCGGGTCGGCACGCCACCCGAGCTTCTTCAGATGCGCGATGGCCAATAGGCGGAGGCGCCGAATCCGCTTCTCATCGTGCGCTGGCCAAGGGTCAAGAAGGAGACGTCGTAGTCGTGATCGTGCTATGGCGCTGCGGTGCCACCCGCTGAGACACCAGTCCAGAGCGAGCTGCCGCCTGCTCTGCTCACCCAACCTCCGCAAAGAGATTGTAGATCATCGTACCTGAGCAGGTTCTCCACGTAGTCAGGGCGCCAGCGCGTCCATTGGTCAAAGTCCGAGCCGCACATGTTCACCAGCAGCGAGGGAATCCACGAACGGGCCCACGCCTCCATCCTGTCCCATAGCGCCTGACGGCGCGCGGCAAGCGGAAGGCCTGTCTCCTCGGCTGCAGGGACAAAGGATTCAAAGAGCTCAGGAAGGTCCTCATCATGAATCGCTGCCGCAGGCGGAGTCTCGCCATCACTGCCCAGCTTTTGCTCGTCGAAATGGTCGTGCAACCCATGAGAGCGTTCAGGGCGCACTGTAGAAGGTGTCAGAGACGTGAGTGAAGGAGTCGATGTACTCGTCGAGGTTGTACACGAAGTGCCGGCAATGTCCCCATGGGCCACAGCCAGAGGCTGAAAGAGAAATCCCAGCGCGAGGGCGATCATGGGTGGTAAGTCGATGGATATCCCAGCTTGAGCCGTGATACTTTGCGGATGCAGCAGAAAGCAAACCGGCGGTGACGGGCATCGGGAAGATGATCGCCAGGCCTCATCATCTTGAGACTCGAGATCCAAAGACAGTAGCAGAGCAGGCAGGAGGCACCCCCAACACTGTCGTAGCGGCGGCAATGGGAGTCGACGACGGCGCTGACGGTGCGCAGCATGAGGATGGCAGCGGTGACCTCGGAGATGTGGGCGAAGAAGATGATCTTCCAGCAAGATCGAAGGCGCCCGCAATGACGCTGGCAGTTGGCGTCGATGGCGAGGAGCAGGGCACATCGCACGAAGGCGGGGATGACGACCCAGATGAAGACGAGGAAGACGATGAAGAGGATGAGGAAGAGCTGGATGACACATTTCTCTTGTCTGGGCGAGCACGTCCAGCACGCCTTGCTCCCAGGGGCGCCCTCGATGATGCTGTAGCTCCCAGCTGTGCAGAACGGGTGGCCGCCTTGACAAATGAGCGCGCCGCCTCTCGATGCCATACATGAGCGGCTGACGAGTGAGCTGCACAGACATACGCGTAGTACATCACCACAATGTCAAAGACGATCCTGTCCAGCTCGACAGCCGAGCCCAGAAGGCCCAGACGCCCCAGTGGCGAGGAGAACCGTGAGTAGCCAAGTTCTTGCTCCAGAAGAAAGCGAAATGGCTGGCACTGCAAGTAGCGGCGAACAGCATCAGGTTCGAGTGGGCAACCAAATCCGCAAGCGAGGCGCCCGCGAGGCTGAAGTATCCTGCGCGAAGTCGCCCAGCCATTGGTCACCGTCTTGAGGTAGGCGAACGCCCAAGGCATCGAGCATCCGCGAAGATGTTGGATAATGTGCCCCCATCGATGTGCAGGAACAAGAGAGTCGCCAATCACGCCTATCTCAGGAAACCGAAGGGTAAGCCGCTTCTCGAAGAAATTCCAAGGTGTGTGGGGGGCATAGACGCTTCTTGATCAGCCTGGTGACGCATCGTTGCAGGCCCACCGACATGGACTGCTCTGCTTGCCAACGGTCAGCCTCTGCATTGGCTGAGGCAAGGTGTGCATGCGAATAATCAGGAAATATGCTGGAGGCGGTGCAGTCACGAACTCTGGCCAATGTCTCCGCGAAAGCTTCAGATTTCCAGAAATGTGGGCACGGGCGCCACGCATCAGCAACAGTTTGGGAAAGCGCACGAAGATCGCCCAGCCGAAGGTGCTGGCGGTACACCATGCAGCCTTCGAAATTCAGGAAGCGTAGCGCGGGCCGCCCTTACCAGCGCCCCAATGCCCATGGCGAGCGAGGAGGGAACGGATGGGCCCCCAGCGCCGCGGAGGTGAAGCCAGGCCGCGCTGTTGAAGGTGCCGAGGGGGATCCTGGCGCCCTGGAGAGGGCGACCAACTCCTCGCGGGGGAGCCACCGAGGCAACATGCGGAACTGAGCAACGTAGGAGAGCACAGGCGCAATTCTGGTAGTATAGTTGACCACCAGCCGCGAAACCGCAAGAGGACTCCCACCAACCAATCTTGATCTCAATTTGACCTGAATAAGTGGCGCCAGCCAGCACGAGCTCTCATCCGCAGCAGGGCCCATAAACAGACCAAGATATATCAGGGAGCGCACCACCTGGATGTTGGCAAAGAAGGGGGCGACATCACGGATCGAGTCGCGCGTGGAGGCAGCCAGCTGCTCGGTGAACGGCGCGTGGAGCGGCACGAGCAGGCACTCGGTGAGCTTGAGCGCAAAGCGCGGCGACCTTCTCCGCAGTCTGCATCACATCAGCGAGGGCGCGTAGGGCCTGAAGTTGTTTGACCACACAACCAATGTCGTCGGCGCGTGCACGGGCAAGACCGAGACGCGGACCTTCCATCCGACCTTGAAGATCGAAGAGAAAACATGCCGTCACTGACTGCAGCATAGATCGATCCACTGAGCGAGCAGCCTCGGACGATGTCAGAAGAGATACGCCACGCGAAGGTAGGGGGCCCATTATTCATGACAATGGCGTCTAAGATGCGGTAGAGCTGCTCCAGGAAAGCCATGAAGGCGAGGGGGGGGGGACTGCACTTGCTGAAAAAACCATCAGCATGAAGGACTGTGCCAGACTCGGGAAGGCCGCGCCGAAGTCCAGCGCCACAAGAGCGGGGAGGTCTGAGCGCGCAGTTGGGGAGTTCGAATACGTTCGGGCGGCGACGTCGAGCTCGAGCATGTTGACCCCGAAGCTCCTCTTGGGGATAAAGCCTCTCTGCGAGCGAGGTGCTTGCTGAACTAAATGTTGACTGCGGCGGTGATCAGCTTGATCCCAGCGCTTCGCCGGCCCAGAACTCTCGCCGCACCAGGGGGGCGAGCACGGCCACACGCCAAGGAGCCGTCAACCTCGTCACCCTTGGGGAGCCAGACTTGAAGCGTGGCATTGGAGCTCTCGGAAAGAGGTTGGCCCTGCACGATCCACACCATGGCGCCCGAAAGCACATGAATCCCAGTGCCGGTAGCAGCCCAAGCAGAGTGAGGGATGGAGTCCAGACCAGGTTCGGAGTAGCGCATCTTGTTGGCAACACGTCGAAGCAGCGCAGGTGACGGGGGTTCAACCTTGGAGAAATCCAATTGCGGGACGTGCTGCTCGATGTAAGCTTGTGCTCGGCTGAGATCGATCGGCTTGGCAGTGAAAATGGGGGCCCAGTGCTCGATCGGGCGGTCTGTCATGGTCGCGGAGTCGCTGGAGACGCACGTCGGGCCCGACGGGCGCTTAACGGCACGAAGGACCATTCTGCGATTCAGTGGAGACCAGATGCCCGCTCGCCGTTCGACTGCAGCTGCTGATGTCGCTGAGCCTGCGGTGCACGAGGGCGGGCTAATCGTTCTTCACGTCGCGTGCGTAGTTGATCAGCATGACGGCATTGGATCGCATCGCACCAGCGTTGAAAGGAGGAAGGATGACGAAGACGGACAGTGTTGTTCTGAATCTCTAAGAAATCGTAGGCCGCCGCATGGTTGGTCATAACCTTGTGAGCCAGCTTGTGGTCGTTGCGCCAGACGACACTGGATATTTGCCGAGCTAGTAGCAAGAGAGTCGAATTAGCCTCAGGCGCCTGATGAAATTGTCGATCACGAAGGTCAGCAGCCACTTCACGGATTGCCCATCTGTGAAGTTCGATCTGGCGAGGGGGGCTTTTGTCCGCATGGTTGAGCTTGTCGCAAACGATATTGAGCTGCTTTGGGAATTCTTCACTCTCGAACAAATGCCGTGGGATTCGATGAGCATGAGCTGGTCGAAGAACTCGCTGCGTGATCTTCACGACGCGCGCAGCATGATCGCTGACACTGGTCTCAGCGAGGCGCCCAGGGCAATCGATCACCCCCGGCCCAGCAGTAAGCTGTGCCATGATCCACCCAGGCCAGCTGCAACAGAACCTGCCCAAGATGGAGACAGAGTGCGACTGACGATCGTAGTGGGCGGGTTCGTCGGAGGAAATGCCCACCATGGCCTTGAGCGCCGCGGCCCAGGGAGCAGCTCTGGCGCGTTGACCTCTACCTTGAGCAAGTCGGCGATGAGGTTGGCGAAGTAGAAGAGGAGCACGAGGAGCAAAATTGAAGTCTCCATGAAGAATAACCACATGGCGCAGCGGATCATGATGCGCCGTCTTCAGATCAGCGGTCAAAGCTTTCGACACCCCATTGAGCTGGGCAATGGTCAGGTCCTGGTTGCGTACATTGCGATGGTAAATGCTGAAGCCATCCAGTTGTAGCACTACCCGTAGCACTCTACAATGAACCAGAGATCGCTGAGAAACCGCAGCACGGCAATCAGCAGGAGGAGGAGGAGCAGGAGGAGGAGGAGGAGGAGGGGAAACATGCAAAGGCTTCCTGGCCCGCACGACGCGCTGGAGAGGGAGCCTGGAAAAAAAAAAAAAAAAAAAAAAAAAAAAAAAAAAAAAAAAAAAAAAAAAAAACCTAGAGAGGATTCTAAAGTCCCCCCCCCCCCCCCCCCGCCCTTCTAGAGTGGGTTTACCTCCTAGAGTCTAGAACAGCTTCATCACTATAAAAGGGAGTTCCCCCTCCAGAAGAGGTTTCCACAGGGATTGTGCCCCCAAGAGATCCCCTTATACAGGGACTGCCAAATGGCGCACCCCCTCTAGAGGGGCTGCCCCCCCTTTTGATATAATCGATGTCCAACAAGATTCCAACGCAATCAATTTCCAATGGGATTTTCTGACAATCGGTATCCAATCGGACTCCAACGCAATCGGTTTCCAATAGGACTCCTGCACAATCAGTTTCCAGTGTGACTTCCTATACAAGCGGTTTCCAATACGATGTCCTACACAATCGGTGTCCCATTGGTTTCCTCGACATTGGATTCCCAAAAGAAAACATGTTTTAAGCAACACGTTGTCAATAAGATTCCATTACAACTGGTTTCCATTCGGATTCCCGCACAATCGATGTCCAACAGAATTCCTGCACAATCGGCTTTCAAGAAGAATTCCTTCACATTCGGCTTCCGATAAGATTCCTTTCCAATCGGCTTCCACTTGGAATTCCTCTGCCATCGGTTCTAATAATACTCTTGCACAACCGGTCCCCATTAGGATTTATACATAATCGGTTTCCGATCGGCTTCCTTTGTAGTCGGCTTCTAATAGAAATTCCTATACAATCGGTTCCCCGTGGGTTTCCTTGACACTGGAATAACCAAAGGCAACCATCACAATCGGCTACCCGACAGAGTTTTTATACAAACGATTGCCTGCAGGATCCCGCTACATTTGATCCCCAATCGGGTTCTTAGACAATCGATGTCAAATCGGGTTCATGTACAATCGGTTTTCCAATGGGATACCTATCTTTCGATTTCCAAACGGGTTCCTACACAATCGGTTTCCAAATAGGATTCCTAAACAATCCGTTCTCAATTGGATTCCTTTACAATCGGCTTCCACTGGGAGTACTTCCCATGTGATTTCCAACAGAATTCCTGCACAATCGGTTTCAAATGAGACTCCCTACAATCGGTTTCCAATACGACTCCTTTGTTTTACAATCGGTGTCCAATAAGAATTCCCTCGCAATTGGCTTCCACCCGGAATTCCGATACACTGGAGTTTCCAAAACGATTTCCTGAGCGATCGGTTTCTGCGATGATTAATTTGAAGTCGGCTTCCAAACGGAATTCCTATACGATCGTTTTCCAAACTGGGAATTCCTATACAATATCTTGTCACTGGGATTCCTGCACAATCGGCTTCCAAAAAGACTTCCTTACAATCGATGTCCAATAAGATCCCGATACAACCATTTTCCAACAGGGATTCCTTCACACATGGCGTCCGAGAAGATTCCTGCAAAATCGATGCTCCGATATGACATCCTACACAGTCGATTTCCAACAATGCCCCTATACAACCTGTTCCCAACAGTATTCCTATACACTCGTTGGCCCATGGGATTCTATATAATCGGTTGTCACTACGATTTCCGACGCAACAAGTTTCGAGTATGCTGATTTCCAAAAAGAAACCATTCAATCAAGTGCCACAGGACTTTCTACACAAACGATTGCCATTCGGATCCTAACACATTCGATTCGCAATCGGTTTCCTAAACCATGGGTTTCCAATCGTGTTCCTTTACATGCGGTTTCCAATCGGATTCCTGTTCTTCGGACTCCAATCGGGTTCCTACGCAATCAGTTCCCAACAAGATTCGTATGTGTATATAAATATATATTCTCGATCGCATTCCTTTACACTCCGCTTCCAACAAGAGCCCCTTACAATCCATTTCAAATAAGATTATGTTTGCTATTCGTTTCCAATCAGAAATCCTACACCGTCGGTTTCCAATACGATTCCTTGACAGTCGGCTTCCAAGAAGAATTCCTTTGCAATCGGTTTCAATTAATACTCCTGTACGATCGGTTTTCAATAAGACTCCTACAACATGGGTTTTTATTCGAATTCCTTTTTGTAGTCGGCTTCTAATGGGAATTCCTATACAATCGGTTCCCCATGAGTTTCCTCGACGCTGAAGTTCCAAAAGGGAACCTTTTTTACAATATGTTTTTAATTTTATATGCGTATATATATATATATGTGTGTGTATACAAACATACATACATACATACAAACGATTGCCAGTGTGATCCCAATACATTCATTTCCCAAACGGGTTCTTAGACAACCGATGTCCAATCGGGTTCCCTTCCAATCGGTTTCGAATGGGATTCCGACGCTTCGATTTCCAATCGGGTTCCTATACAATCGGTTCCAAAAAGGATTCCTCGACAACCCGTTTTGAAAGGATTCCTTACAATCGGTGTCCAAAAGAGTTCCTTTTACAAAATATTTCCTGTGGGATTTCTGCACAATCGGTTTCCAAAAAGATGTCGTACAATCGGTTTCCACTACGATTCCTCTACAATCGGTTTCCAATAAGAATTCCCTCGCAATTGGCTTCCACTCGGAATTCCTAGACAATCGGTTTCCAATAAGATTTCCTGAGCAATCGGTTTCTGTGATGATTAATTTGAAATCGGCTTCCAAACAGAATTCCTATACAATCCTTTGTCACTGGGATTCCTGCACATTCGGCTTCCAAGCGAAATTCCTTTACAGTCGATCTCCAGTAGGATTCCTATACAATCATTCCCCAACAAAAATTTGTTTACACTTGGTTCCCGGGAAGATTTCCTGCACAACCGATGCTCTATTCGACATCCTACACAGTCGGTTTCCAATAATGCTCCTATACAACCGGTTTCCAACAGTATTCCTATACACTCGATTCCCAATGGGACTCCTATATAATCGGTGTTCAATACGATTTCCTACGCAACAAGTTTCGAATATGATTTACTACGCAATCGGTTTCCAATCTGGTTGCTATGTGAATGGTTTCCAAAAGGACTCCTGTACAATCGGTTTCCAATAGGCAATCGGTTTCCCATGGCATTCCAATACAATCGATTTCCAATACAATTCCCTTACAATCGGCTTCCATTCGGAATTCCTATACAATCGGTTCCCAAGAGGACTTCCTACGCAATCGATTTCCCATCAATTGGCCTCCTACACAAACAATTTCCAAAAAGAATTCCTGTGATATCGGTTTCCAATCGGATTCCTACACAATCATTTTCCAAGAAGGATTCCTCTGCAATCGGTTCCCAATCGGGTTCCCGCACAATCGGTTTCCAATGGGAATTCCTACACAGTCGGCTCCCAATAAGATTCCTTGACAATGGGTTTCCAATTCGATTCCTTCACACCTCGGTTTCCACTAGGACTCCTGTACAATCGGTTTCCCATCAGATTCCTTTTGGCAATCGGTTTCCAACAGGAACTCTTTTGAAATTTGGTTCCCAATAGAATTCGCTCGCAATCGGCTTCCAGTAGAAATTCCGACGCAAGCGGTTTCCAATCGGATTCCTTTTACAATCGGTTTCCAACAAATGCTCGCCTCCCATTTCCCTCGCGAATAAGAGAGCCGCCTTCTCTCGCAGCGACGTCGGCGAGGGAGAGCGCCGGGGTCGAATTAAAGGGGGGCTACTACCACTTCTACTACTACTACTACTACTACTACTACTACTACTACTACTACTACGACTACTACTACTACGACTACTACTACTACTACTACTACTACTACTACTACTACTATCACAACTATTACTACTAATACTACACCTACTACTACTACTACTACTACTACTACTACTACTTCCTCTTCTCTTCTACTACTACTACTACTACTACTACTACTACTACTACTACTACTACTACTATTACGACTACTACTACTACTACTACTACTACTACTACTACTACTACTACTACTACTACTACTACTACTACTACTACTACTACTACTACTACTACTACTACTACTACTACTACTACTACTACTACTACTAGTACTACAAATACTACTACTACTACGACGACGACTACTACGACTACTGCTCCTACTACTCGTACTACTACTACTACTACTACTACTACTACTACTACTACTACTACTACTCCTACTACTACTACTACTACTACTACTAACTACTACTACTACTACGACTACTACTACTACTACTACTACTACTACTACTACTACTACTACTACTACTAGTACGACTACTACTACTACGACTACGACTACTACTACGACTACTACTACTACTACTACTACCACTACTACGACTACTACTCCCACTACTCGTACTACTATCACGACTAATGATAATAATAACAATAATAATAAAAGTAATAATACACCTACTACTACTACTACTACTACTACTACTACCACTACTACTACTACTACTACTACTACTACTACGACTACAACTACGACTACTACTACTACTCCTACTACTCCTACTACTACTACTACTACTACTACTACTGCTACTACGGCTACTACTGCGACTACTACTACTACTACTACTACTACTACTACTACTACTACTACGACTACTTCTACTACTACTAAATCTACTACTACTACTGATAATAATATTAATTATAATACTCATACTCGTAAGCATAGTAATACCAATACTACAGTTACTACTACTACTACTACTACTACTTCTACTACTACTACTACTTCTACTACTACTACTACTACTACTACAAT